GGGGGGGGGGGGGGGGGGGGGGGGGGGGGGGGGGGGGGGGGGGGGGGGGGGGGGGGGGGGGGGGGGGGGGGGGGGGGGGGGGGGGGGGGGGGGAATTGTTTTCTCTTCTTTCTTTACGGGAAGATAAAGATTTGAAAATGCAGTCCTTCCGTAACCGACTCCAAAACAACAGTTTATAATCACACTCACACATTCACACACACACACACACTTGAATCGAAAGAAAATATAATTGAAAGACAATAAAGAGGTATGCATAAAGAATTACATACTATAACGCGATAAAACTTTTTTTTTTGAAATAATCAAACTGCATATTTACGAAAAAAACAAATATCTATCGCATTATGTTTAAAAAGACAATTTATTTATTTATTTATTTAGGCATTTTTATATAGCGCTTACCTTAAAGCTCTAAGCGCTTTACATTTATTAAAAACATGTAAACTAAGTAAAATAAAAATGAGACATTAGGATAGTAACTACTATACTATAGAAACAATGAAAATGGCTATAAAACGAGGACACTTTGGAACGTTTTGGCCTATATTACAGAATTAACCCGAGACAGAAAATGAGGCAGGGCAAGGAGGGTGCATCACAGGATATAGGCGGACCTAAACAGATGGGTTTTAAGGGACTTTTTAAAAGTGGACGAGGTTTCACAATTACGGGATACCACCCGTGCCTAAGGTTGCCGTTAAAAGTAGAACTCCATTTTGGTCGAATTTTTAAAAAGTAAAAATGTCACCAAAGGAAAAAAAAACCTCGGTTACATTATAAAGAAAAATGTTCCTAAAAAACTCCCCCACAATTTTTAGACCTACGGTTTGTGTAGGCATCCACCGAGTCTAAAATGGACACAAAGGTTTCCCTGAATTTCGTGCTCATGTGGAGATAAACGAAGATGTTGACCGTAGAGTTGATGGACCCCAATGCGAAAAAAAAAGTCCAAGTGGTGACAAAGAGATTTTTGTACCTGCCCGTTATGTTATAATCTTCGTAGCAGGACATCGCCAAGATGCCGACCACCCCGGGGAGGGAGCTGACGATAAAGATGGCGGCGATCAGAATAATCATTTTCACCAGTTTCTTGTCTCGTGTCGACATGCCCGCATTACTCCCCGAGGACGACGCCTTGTTCCGCCACTGGACTTTGTGGAGGAAAGTGCGCGTGAGTCCAGTCGTGCAGAGCACCACAAGGGTGAAGGCCGTCAGCTGGGCGAAGACGTTGAAAGACAAGGAGAAACTCTCCAACTCGTGGCCGTACTCGCCGTAGACCAGGGAAACGACAGATCTGTTCAGAGAAGGACTGAAGGAAGGCTCCAGCCGGCATGCCAGGTAAACCGGAACTACCGCGGCCGCCATGATGACGTAGATTATAACATTGATGGCCACGGTTCTAGAAGGGGTTAAAATGGTTTTGACTTTAAGAGGCGCGGCAATGCAAAGGTACCTCTCGAACGTGATGAAGACGGTCAGCCAACCGGAAATGCGAGAGAAGCAGATGTTGGGCCAGCCACCTGACAAATGTTGGACGCCCATAAAGTCGTAGTTTGGGAACGATTTGGCCACTAACGGATTGTAGCACAAGCTCAACCAGATTAAGGTCAGGAGGATGCCAGCGTCGGCTATTGACAGACTCAGCAGGGTGATGTTGGTGGTGTCCGAGAAGCCAAGATTCGAGAACACCACGATGTTGATGAGGTTGAAAATGAAGCCTAATATGCTGACAGTTCCGGAGATGACGACGAAGTTGGCAAGTGTAAATATGTCTAGAAGGTCATCGCTAATCAGGTCGTGAAAACTAAAAGGATTTGAATCTGACCCGGCGTTCAATATCGAATCTGAATCCTCGCGTGAAATGTTGAAAAACATCGTCTCCATTTCTTCAGTTAACGAGACGTGAACTGAAATAACTATGATGGGATCAGATAGCTTATATAATAGCTTATATTTACTATGGTGGAGTGTGACTGTTTTCCCCACGAATGCATTAAAAATTGTGTTTAGCTTCGATATCCTTGTAAGTCTTCAAGAAATGAATATGACGGGTTCAACATTCTAGACGTGTGTTGTTTAATAAAACCAAGTCCACGAACTTGAAACATGGACTATATAAAACATTGTTTTTTACACAATGTATGGAACTTGAACGGTTGGGAGATGACATTGTTAAATTATAAAACCCGTGCGAGAATGAAAAAGTACTTTTAAATGCTTAGTTGATGAAATCATTCCACACAGACCTATTTCTACTATTCTTGATTTAGATGCTGACAGCAATGTTTTGTTACATGACATTTGAAAAGATTACAGCGACTCGTCATTTGAATAATAAAGATATACTTATGTAATTCGTACAATTTGCATTTCCATTTTAATACTTTTCAACTTTTAACGAGATACTAGATAGAATCACTAGGAAAAAAATTACTCCTCTAAAATATGGTTAGATAATAAATCTTTCATAATATTCATAACGTCAAGTTTATGTTCGCTAGGGGCAAAATATAATTCTGAAACTCTACACAAAGATTCAATCTGAATAAAAATATTTTGAGCTTTTTATTTATGAAATAATTATTTTTTAATCTTTTTTATTTTTATCTTTAACTTTTCATCTTTTGAGAGTTTTTTTTTTTTTACTTTCTAACCTCTTGAGAGGTAATTACGGTAGAAAAATAAGAAAGAAAAAAAAAGAAAAAGAAAAAAAAAATTATTAATCATCACCCTTACAAGCCAAGCTTTTCAAACAGATTAATTTAATAAGAAAATCGCCTTATCAAAGTCGTCATGACATGAAGTTATTTTCAATGTAGACCAACATTTTCTTTTAACAGAGCAAATCGCTGCCATGTTTAAAGGTTATCATCTAACGATACGATTGGTTAATGGGTCGATTGTGACGTCATGTGCACCAGAAAGTTGTACGTGTTAGTACTTTAACCCTGAGCCAATGTGAAGGGAATCCGTTCATCTGTAAATTGATCGTCAACTCACACACACACACGCATACAAATTATCAATTGCCTCTGATGATCTTTGGCCAATTTTGCCCTTCAACGTTTGCCATCTTGCAGTCAAGATCGTCGCCCTCCAGGCGTCACGGATTGATGAACACCGCAAGAAAATACAGTTTAATTTTCAAACTATTGCTTACATGTAATCCATAATGCACTATGGCTCATTCATAGTTCAATGTTGTGTCAACAGTTATACTAGGTTTTAAGCTAAAGTCAATCGGACACGAAATAACGTTAAATGTTTATTTTTTTAGTTTAAAAAAAAAATCATTAAAAAATGTAGGGTAATACATAATTTTACATTTTTGTGTAGTAGCTTTTTATTGAATTTATATGACACCTACAGACCAAAAATAAACTCATAATATGGTTCGTTCAACCTCAAGATGGCAGAAAAATGTGTGTAAAACAGAGCAGATTGGCTCCACATTCGTGTCTTGGTGTTTCTAAGCTTGCTCCCAGGAAGTTGAGTTACGCTTATTAAAACTGCTCTTTTTTAATGTAAATTTATATATTAAGTTCATGTTAAAATAACGCTTCATCTCTAATTAAGGCTCGAAGCACAATCAAATACAATAACGCAACAATACAAAATCTACATACATGCCAATGGACAATACAAGTCAATATACATCGAGGAATATGAGCAAACTCCTTGGAAACTACATCGACCCAGCAGGTGAGTGCGAAAAAGATGCGTTTTCAACTCAGTTTTGAAAGACTATTGCATCTGGCTGTTTCTCCGAGCGGCAGGAAGGCCGTTCCAGACTCTTGGTACAGCTAAAGCGGAAGTGCGCCTCCCGTAGGTCTCAAGGTGGACTCGTGGTATTCAGAGTTTGCCACTATCGGATGAACGGAGTGATCTAGTGGGTACATAAGTCGTCATGAGCGCTTTGAGATAGGACGGCGCCAGGTCATGCAAGCAGTGCTAGCACAGAGATGCAATTTTGTACTCTATGCGAGCGTAGACCGGCAGCCAATGCAGCTCTCTCATGAGTGTGTTAGCATTTGAGTTTGCGCTGAACAATGCGAGCCGCATTATTCTAGGCTTTTTGAAATATATCCAGGTGCGTAGCCGGAAGACCCACCATGATCACTGCAGTAGTGATATCACGAATGGAGACATCAGCCTCTTTGTTGCATCAAACGTTAAAAAAGACATATGACTAATTCTGCGCAGCTCTAGAAAGCTCGCCTAGAAAAGCATGTTAATGTGATTTTCCACAGTAAGTGTTCTGTCTAGGAAGACACCCACCAGGTTTCGCATTGTTTGAGCAAACTCAATCTTCACACCTGAGAGAGTAAAGGATTATGTGTTATTTACAGATGTTGGCTTCTGAGCGGTAGCGATGGGGATCAGCTCGGTCTTTTCATCGTTCAATTTGAGCTTGTTTACGGTCATCCATGGCTTAATTGGCTCTAATTATACGTTCTTCTATATCATGTAATCACGTTCTTCTATATCTTGTAATCATGTTCTTCTATATCATGTAATCACGCGTTTCTATATCCTGTAAACACGATATTCTATTTTATGCAATCATGTTCTTCTATATCATGTAATCACGTTCTTCTATATCATGTAATCAAGTTCTTCTATGTCATGTAATCACACGTTTCTATATCCTGTAAACACGATATTCTATATTATGCAATCATGTTCTTCTATATCATGTAATCACGCGTTTCTATATCCTGTAAACACGATATTCTATTTTATGCAATCATGTTCTTCTATATCATGTTATCACGTTCTTCTATATCATGTAATCATGTTCTTCTATATCATGTAATCATGTTCTTCTATATCATGTAATCACGTTAAAGGTTTTTTGCGAGGTCAGTTAACATTTTATCGTGCTTCGGTTCAATTGACCATTGTCTATAAATTATAAAATAACAATAGTTGGAGTCCACAGCGAAAATGTGATTTTCAAGTTTTAGCGCAAACGCTACAAAGCCTGTGTCAGTAGAATTTTTTTTAAACAAATAGTTTTGTTTTAGTTTGGGTAAACAAACTTTTTAAAGCCAGTAAAGACATTAATTTTTTTTTAACTGCTGTAAAATACGTACTATTCTTATTCATATAGATAGCCTAATTTCTTTTAAAAATATGATAATTTAAAAAAAAATAAAACATTGACTTTTTCAGGCACGACCAATAACACCTGGTAACCTAGTGACGAGTCATTCGGAATTCTGGTAAACAAACCTGACAAAGGTGTCTCAAGATGCTGCTGTTGTATCGATTGATGGGGTCAGAAATAACAGGGCCGGAGTTACAGATGATGAAAGGGGGGGGGGTACAAAATCCGTAACGGTTAGAATAAAGTGATTCCGATGCAGTGAAGGAGTTACTATAGACATTTGCAAGGCTCCGTTTTGTTCTGTATTGTGTAAGCATATTTTTAGTACATCAACTTATCGTGTACGTATATTTTAAGTACAGCAACTTATTGTGTACGTATACCATTAGTACATCAACTTATTGTGTAAGCATACTTTTAGTACATCAACTTATTGTGTATTTATACTATTAGTACAGCAACTTATTGTGTATTTTTACTATTAGTACATCAAATTATTGTGTATTTATACTATTAGTACATCAACTTATTGTGTATTTATACTATTAGTACATCAACTTATTGTGTATTTATACTATTAGTACATCAACTTATTGTGTATTTATGCTATTAGTACATCAACTTATTGTGTATGTATTCTTTTACTATATCAACTTATTGTGTATGTATACTATTAGTAAATCAACTTATTGTGTATGTATATTTTAGTACATCAACTTATCGTGTACGTATACTTTTAGTGCATCAACTTATTGTGTAAGCATATTTTTAGTACATAAACTTATCGTGTACGTATACTATTAGTACATCAATTTATTGTGTACGTATACTTTTAGTACATCGACTTATTGTGTACGTATACTTTTAGTACATCAACTTATTGTGCAAGTATACTTTTAGTACTGTGTAGTAAGTAATATTTTTAAAATAATTAGTGCTGGTGAGAAATTCTAACGTAACTTAAACCTTTCTAATCTTTTAAATCAAATGCTTTTTGGGACGAGGAGAAAGGGCCTTCATTGTCAGATCGAGAAAGGGCCTTCATTGTCAGATCGAGAAAGGGCCTTCATTTTCTGATCGAGAAAGGGCCTTCATTGTCAGATCGAGAAAGGGCTTTCATTTTCAGATCGAGAAAGGGCCTTCATTGTCAGATCGAGAAAGGGCCTTCATTGTCAGATCGAGAAAGGGCCTTCATTGTCAGATCGAGAAAGGGCCTTCATTGTCAGATCGAGAAAACGCCTTCATTGTCACATCGAGAAAACGCCTTCATAGTCAGATATTAGATTATATTTATACACAAAGTATATTGCTTGTGAATCTGTACAATATAAACTTTCAATGTATTCAATGATGCATTCTTCATGTTATTCACTAACCCCTAAAGTTCCCGTTACATTACAGTAAGATCATGGTTAATGGAAATCAGAGGTGTTTAGATATTGAAAGTAAAGAGATGCTTTACCGAGTTAACTGTGTTGTTAAGTATTAATAATACTACAGTGTGTGTGTGTGTGAAAGAGAGAGAGAGAGAGAGAGAGAGAGAGAGAGAGAGAGAGAACCAGTCGTTTAAAAGACTAGCAATGTAAATATAAATGGAGGTCCTTTATATTCATAAATATAATTTAATATATAAAATAAGATAACATTGATACAATGAAACATTCCGACAACTCCTGCGACGTCAATGGTGCCAAGCTGTATCATCCAATGATGTTCCCTTGGGTTCTCCAGCGGCATGGAGAGAGGCGATTTGCTGTTGGGAACCAGCTTATAATCCTTAAAGAATAATCCCAGGCCATGTGGATTTCGTCCTCCGAAGCCCACTCCATCGTCACATTGTGACGGACGGATACCAGCAAAAAAAAAAAAAAAAAAAAAAAAAAAAAAAAAAAATTCAGGATAGACTTAGATCTATGTAATACAGGCTACATCTTATTTTGTTATCACTTGTGTCATTCTGGTTTACGGAGAATAATGTAATATAAATGTCCACTCCACCAGGAGATCATCTATTTTAATTTTTTTTAAGAATTGGCAGACACTGGTTTGAGAATAGGAGAACCAGACCAGAGAATAGAGGTGGGTGACCAGACACTGGCTTGAGCATGAGACAACCAGACCAGAGAATAGAGGTGGGCGACCAGACACTGGCTTGAGCATGAGACAACCAGACCAGAGAATAGAGGTGGGCGACCAGACACGGCTTGAGCATGAGACAACCAGACCAGAGAATAGAGGTGGGCGACCAGACACTGGCTTGAGCATGAGACAACCAGACCAGAGAATAGAGGTGGAGTGGAAGACAGGAGTCAAGTGGCCTTTGTAGAAAAAGAATGAAGAAATTAAAAACCGCATTCAAAGGGGACTAGCTGGGACAATTTTAAACCATTTGTCAAACTTGAGTCAAAAGAGCTGTATGAAAAATGCTTTAAAAAATTATATCCTTCGTCTCCTTATTACAGTGAGTATCGGTGACATAATACCTACTACTATTATGCAGAGAGTTCCAAATTTCCTAATTTTTCCTTTTAAATTATATAAAATTATTTTTGAAGTGAATATTCTTTTATTTTTTATTCGATTTTTTAGGATTCTGTTTTATAAAAACTAATCATGAATACATCATACTGGTAGCAGTCAAACACATTACACCAGGCCTGCACAACTCAAATTGTAAGGCGGGCCGTAATACTTTATAAAAAAAATCATTTGAGGGCCAAAAGAAAATAGGACGTGGGGAAAGCTATTAAGAAAATAAAAAGAATAAAGAATATTTAGTTACTTCGCGGGCCGCATGTTCCCTACAGCTCATTTCAACTCATACCATATTAACTTCTAATTAACTATAACTACAGCTCAGTAAAAAGTTTAATTCGTTAAAATGAAATTTAGTAAATGGCGGGCAAAAATGTAACATCCCCTCCCCCCCACAAAAAATCAAACAAAAAACAAATTGTGTATTCCTACACCAATTGGCTTTGAATGGAAACGCTATTTGTTTCATAAAACTTGGTCACAGTTTTCTTGGTTATTTAAAAAGAATGAAGCAAACAATAAAACAACCACACGCAAAAATGAAACAAATTGAGAATACAAAAATGCAAAGAAACAAATATGAGAAAAAAATCATAAAACCAGCAATAAAAAATATTCAAACAACATCAATTAATTAGGGCTATAACTATAACACAAGTCATTTCTTATTCTTAATTTTTTTTAAATATATATAATTGATCACATGACCAAAAAAAAAAAAGTTGACACCAGGAACAAAACAAACTGATGCTGTGATGTAATTTTTTTTTTCTTTTTTCCCCTTTAAATTTCAAAATAAAAACAAACATTTTAGCCGTTATCAACTGTCCCCCGTCGCAAGTGTACTTGTCGTCTGATACGGTGTACTTGTGTGATGCAGTGTACTTGTCGTCTGATGCAGTGTACTTGTCGTCTGCTGCGGTGTACTTGTCGTCTGATGCAGTGTACTTGTCGTCTGATGCAGTGTACTTGTCGTCTGATGCGGTGTACTTGTCGTCTGATGCAGTGTACTTTTCGTCTGATGCAGTGTACTTGTCGTCTAATGCGGTGTACTTGTCGTCTGATGCGGTGTACTTGTCGTCTGATGCGGCGTTTCTGTTCCATAAGCGCTTCGTGCAGAACAGTGGCCACGTCACTTATCACTTATTCCTCACGAATACTTCATATATGTCTTGTGAATAGTTTATTCCACTGCACGTAAAACATGGGGACAGAGTGGTTCTCAAATCACAAGAGTGCGTGGTTCACAGTTTCGTATTCAATCTCTTTCTTTGGATGAAAGATTTGAAAATACGAATGCATATATTGTTTTCTTTGCTTTGTCCCCCCCCCCCCCCCCCCCCTCAAAAAAAAAAAAAAAAAA